GGGCAGAGCCGGGCAGAGCCGAGCCGAGCCGAGCCGTGCCGTGCCGTGCCGTGCCGGGCCGGGCGAAGCGAGCGCGGTCCGGGAGGAGCAGAGGCAGCGCAAACTGTACCCGGCCCGGCGGCTGCCCGGAGCGCTCCCCCTCGCCGTTCCAATGTGGCGTCCCCCTCGCCAGGGCCAGAACCGGCACTGCGCATGCGCCGCAGATTTTAAACCTGCACGGGAAGACGGCCGCCCTGGCAACCGCGCGTGCGCGCTGGCCGCCCCCGGAGTGGGCGGGGCTCGGCCCAGCCGGGGCCGGCGGGAGGGAGAAGGACGTTGGCAAGGCTTCCCCTGGTCCGGCGGCCAGCCCTCGTGCGCATGCGCGGCCGGGGGCAGGGGGGGGGGGTGTCGGAAGGGTTCGGAAAGCTTCGGAAGGGTTCGGAAAGCTTCCGTAAGCCTCGGGTGGGAGAAGGGGGTTTAGCGCCCGCCGCGCCTGCGCGGTGAGGCCCTCCCGCATCCCTGCCGCCGGTGCCGGTGCCGGTGAGGGAGAGAGGGGATGTAGCGGTGTCGGCGGGCGCTGCCGCCTCGGCCCCGGCTGGCAGGAGCCTGTGCCAGGCCGCGGCCGTTAACGGCGGGAGCAGCCGCGGCCCGGTGTCGGCTGGTCCCCAAGGAGCCGCGTCGCCTCTGTGCCGGGGCTCGTACCCTGTGGAGAGGTGTAGCCCTCTTCCCACAGAAATAGAAGGGGTAATTTTTGCGGAGTAATTGAGACGAAAGGCGAGTGCAGGCAGAGCTTCTTCGAGAGGGGCTGGATGGGCGGGGGCTGAGCGGGGCCGTGCTGACCCCCGGGAGGGCGGGAGGCCCGGAGGCGGGCAGGCCGCAGCACACAGTTCATCAGCAAGGGCAGGCTCTCCTGCCTGTCTTTCTAGCAGCAAGAAAGCATCGTGAAGTGCCTCATTTCCACTGGATACTTTGGTTTTTACTGGGCTTGACTCTCAGGGGGTCAGTGCCTGTAATGGATGGGTGTCACGTGCAGGGATTGCTGGTTAAACTGCATATGGCTGTTGGAGTGGGATCAAATGCAGATAGACTGTGTTAGTTCTCTGGTCTGAGGATAGGCTTTAATAGCCAACCTTCCAGAATGATGTTCATAACTGTTCTCTTTCTAATTGAGTGATTTGGCCTTTTCCTTGAGCAGCTTCAGCATGAGCATGGATCAAGTGTCCTCTACCCCAGATACCCCCAGAGTCTTCAGTGGTCCAGGAATTACCAGTCAGTTGGATACAGCTCTTGCCTGAGTGCGGGTCACGGAATTTTCAGAGTTGGAAGGGACCTTCTAGAGATCATCTAGTCCAACTCCTTTGCTAGAGCACATTACTCAGGACTGCATCCAGGCAGGTCTTGAAGACCTCCAGAGAAGGGGACTCCACAACCTCCCTGGGCAGCCTGTTACAGTGCTCTGTCACCCTCACTGGAAAGAAGTTCTTTCTCGTATTTGAGTGGAACTTCTTATGTTCCAGCTTGTGCCCATTGCCCCTCATCCTGTCATTGGGAACCGCTGAAAAGAGTCCAGCTCCATCCTCCCTCAAACCGCCCTTTAGATACTTATAAGCATTAATCAGGTGTCTCCTCAGCTTTCTCTTCTCCAGGCTACAGAACATCAGAGAGAAGAGGTTTACATGCATAATAACAAATACTCTTAGGGGAATCCCAGTTACAACAGCCTCCAATGCACTTGTGGGGGACATCTCAGGTGACCTAACAACTTACTGCCACAGAAGAAGAGAAAAGGAGAAGTCTGACTCTCAATAATCCTGCTACTTGCTTTCCCTGCTCTCTTGCGCAAGCCCTGATATTGATCAGTGAGCCAATTTAACTTGTTAATTCAGCAGAAAACTGCACTAGGAAGAAAAGTAATAGTTTTCAGCAGTTCATTTTAAATGAGCTTATTTTGTGGTCGGAGCTGGCGCTAAGGAGGGGGTGGAGAGAGGATGAGAGAACAGGACTGTCATTTGTTAGAGGGCAGTTGTGTTTGATGCAGCTGTATTCTCTAACTATACCCTTAGACTTCAGAGCAAGAGAAACTGATTTGGGGGTGGCAGCCTAATGTTTATTGTTGCAAGTCATTTAGAAAGAGCGAGTCATTCATTTGTTTTTGTTAAGAAACAGATCTGTTTTCAGGAATAACAGCCAAACTACACATAAAAGTACACAATAAACTAACCAAAACCAAACCACATGAAAGAGCCATTAAGCTTGTCTCGGAAAAAACGTGTTCACCAGAACTTCCATCCGATAAAACCGAAGTGTCCTTCTGACTTGTGTGGTCAACTAGGTATACAGATGTTCAGCACAGATTTCATCCACTTGAGTTACTGATAGCAGTCTTTGGTTTTACAGTTCACGTTCCCAAAGGATTGTGGATATTTCCTTGTTTGTTTTTAATTGAACTTGAATGGAGACAAATAAACAGGCTCCTCAACGCTCTTCTTATGTCATACCATAGGAAGTAAACCACAGAATTATACTGTCTCTTTCCTCTTTTAGCCCTGAATAGTTTGCATTCTTGCCTCTATGATGGCCCAGGTTCAGCGAGGGAAGGTGAGGATCGGCAATATTTCCACAAGCCTGGCTGGTGTGGTGTGCTTGTGGTTGGGATGGTTACTTTGTAAATCCACTTTGAAGTGCTGAGGAGGCAACAGGAGCCCAGATCTCAACCTTTTCAATTCCACATTCTGACTTTTAATACAACGGGTGATGATCAGATCTCCAAGCTGCTGAGCTAAAAATAAAGAAGTACTGATTGGTGTTTTGAAAATAAAAGTAAAATAAACAACAAATATCAAGACACAAGGACCAATCTTAGGGAGGCAATTTCAAGCTCTGAAATTTCATGACCTGTTTATTTCCTTCTGTCATGGTTTAACCCCAGCTGGCAACTGGAACCATGCAGCTGCTCACTTGCCCCCTCTTTCTGCCCCCCCAGAAGGGTGGGGGACGTGGAAAAAAAAAGCAGAGGAAAGGAGGAAAAGGGGGAGGAGGAAAGGAGCTAAAAAAACCATCATGGGTTGATATAAAGGCAGTTTAATAGAAATAATAGCAAAAAATGAAAAATCACAATAATGACGCAGGTCACTCTTGCCACCAGGTGAATTGGCACTCTTTAGAGCAGTGATTGCGGATTCCCACCTCTTGGCCAACCCCCGCTTATATACTGAGCATGACATCCATGGTACAGAATAGTCCATTGGCCATTCCATCGTTCTGTCCATGCTTCTATAGGAAACTGAAAAAAATCCTTGAATACTATAAACATCACTTAGCAACAACTAAAAACAATAGGTATTATTGACATTCCTTTCATAGCAATCACTAGAAAGAAAATTAATTCTTTCCCAGCTGAAAACAGGACACCTTCCCTGCTCTGCTGCCATCTTTTGAAAGTCAGTGCTTTCAAGAGGGCCTGATTGCCCACTTTGCTAAAATTATCTCCAACTTCATTTTGAGGTCTAGCTGGTAGAGACCTCAGTAACTCAAAAGCAGCTTTTGAATGAGGGGAGATGCAGCATTCCTGAGACTCACCAATCCCAACACTGTCTTGGAAGGAGCCAAGCTGTTTCCTGAAGTAGCTACAGTCTTCTCAGAAGGGGTTGTCTCTCACCGGCTTAAACTGTGTTCCTGTGGACAGAATTTCTGAAGCTAAAATGGTGCTTTATCGGTTCCTTCTATGGGGTCAAGGCAGCAAATACCATGTGAGTGCAATAGGGGGCATGGGATGGAAGTTTTGGGCACAAACCTACTCAGGGATCTGCATTTTAAAAACATGGAGAAGGAAGTCTCTGAGGAATCTATAAGCAATGGTTTGTTAACATGCCAGTTCACTCGTGTATCCCACAATGATTCTTTGAAGCTTGCACCAAGTCACTGAAATATCTCTGCAGAAAAGGAGATATTACATGTTCCCTCATAAGTGTGTATAATATGAAGAAATAACACCCAATGGCCTGTTGTGGCACAAGGACAAGAAAAAATATCATCTTCTAACATCTGCTTTTAATCTTCTCTGTTTCTAGCATCTCCATTGAGAAATAAATAAAATAAAATAAATAAAGCATGTTTCTAATCTTGTCTCCTTAAAGTGAAAATTTCCTTTGTAAGGATTGATTTTTTAAAAAGACTGGTTGATTTTAATTCATTGTCCTGAATGAAACTACTTACTGAAGGCAAGACTCTTAGAAAGTTTTAAAGTCAAATATAATTTTCATTGTTAGAAAACTGTGCTTTATTTTCAAAAGAGCTTCCTTCCCACTGGTGAACTTGTGAGGACCAGATACTGAGAAGATCCTACTCTCAGGAGACACAATGCCTTTTTTGCTGTGGTGAAGCTCAAATTCTTGATCCAGATCATTAATGTCCTATTAAAATGCTTCATAGTAACATTGCCTGTCTTATGTGAGTAACACAATATCCTTCTATCTGCTCTTTTTTGTGACTTCAGTTTTCTTAAGGTAGTATTTAACTTTGAAGTGAACTAATGACTAAAATGTAGTCTCATTACTTCTGAGGTCATTTAATTAATCTGTTATAAAGCATTTTAATCTGGCTCCTTGTCACAGAAAACACAACCCACAGCTCCCTCTTGGATGAAGATTATATTTCAGTTTCAGCTTCAGCCAAATACATTTTTTGTTTGGCAACAGTGGCAGCACTGAAGTCTTTGCAAACCTTGTAGCTGATGACTTTGATGTCCTGATGACTGCAGTTCCAAATTGTGAATAGTTCATATCTTTCGGTAAATAATGCCAATCGAGTTGAATACCAAAGTTGCCCAATTCTTGCTATTAATCTTTTCTCTCTTTTTTTTTGACAAGCCCTCTGAACTCATTAAGGCAGGGAAAGGCAGATAGTCTCTCATACCTTTAATGTGGCTCAGTTTACACCCCTGGAAATTATGAGATGCAAATGCAACATACCAAGATGATGCAACCTTAGTTCTCTTCTCTGAAGCTGGGAATTGCCATGGGTGTGATTCCACCAGGGCGCCACAGTGGCTGAGAGGTGACCAACAGGTTCTCCAACAGTTCACACTCTCCGGGATATCTCCAGGATTTTATCCTTTATGACCTTCATTCTGGTCACCCACAATCTTGCTGGAAGCCTCTGACAGATCACCTCCTTCGCTCTCACCAGCTCTGATCTCCTTCTTCATAGCCTTGGTGGCCCACAGGATGGACAGAGAAAGCACAGAGAGTAGGGTTCAGCAGTATTTTTGGTCAGTCATGTATCTGCTGAAGGCAAATAAAAAACACCATCTTGAGTTGGATGGGGGCATGAGAGAAAGGCTGTCCAGCGAAAGGGGTATGTCTCTAACAAGTGACTTTCAGACCATGGTAGTCACCAAGAGTGTTGGTGAGGAGGTAAAGGGGAGACAGTTTCCTTAGCTGCATTTTGTCCCTTTTTTTTTTGGTCCAGTAAACGCATTTACTGATCAGGAGAGCTGAGAAAGAGTTTTCCTCTCTTAAACAGAGCTGATCACAGTGGGGAGACAAGTGGAAAGGCAGAACAGGAGTTTCTGATTCTTACAAGGTATGATTTAGGACACGTTTGTAATCTGTGCTCTGCAAACATGGGCTTTTACTTTCTTCAAAATGTCTTCTATCTTCTGTTAAGGAAGGCCTGGCACAAGTAACCCTCAACCGGCTAAAATCATATTATCTTTTCCTCCTTAAATCTTCCACTTTGCTCAATCCTTCCTCTCTTTGTGGCTTTACGTCCTCTGCTGATGAACACTGAGTGTCAGCCAAATTTAGGGTGTTGAGGCACATTCAGAGCCAATTGAAGTGCAGAGCCTGAAACAGCTGTCAACCACCAGCCTCTCCTCTTCCCACTTCTACTCTTGCACGGGTTGCCAGCCCTGTGTCGGAGAAGCTGAGCAGATGATAAATCAACAGCTGAACAGCTGCAGCTTCCAGGCAGGCATGTTCATACACATGAAAATCCTTTTCTAGCTGCCTACATGAGATAGCTGGGTGGTAAACGGAGAAAGCGTGGGAAGTGGTTCACAAGTGGTTCAGTTACGCTTGCAGTCAGGGTGGCAGCGTAGGGGAGAGAGGCTGCGTGGACAGCCAGGTGTCATTCTTGCCTCACACTGCTGCATGTGTGTCAACACTTCTTGTGGGAACTCTGTCCTGGAGACCTTTTGTCACTGTGTAGTTGTGCAGTACTACAAGAGGAGCAAGAGAAACATGTCACCTTGGTATACCCACACTCTATTTCCATTGATATGTTTAGGGATCTGATAGGGATTACTTTCAAAATGCTACTTTATTACAAATATTTATCTTGGTTTATTACACACCAATGAAATACTTAACACAGAATTTTTTTTAGTTTTCTGTGATAATAAACAAATAATATATTATTGCTCTATTTGAAGGATGGTCTATGCAAAATTTTAAATTGTTCTTGTGTTCTATTTTGCTTCTCTTCCTCATCTAGAGAAAGTTTGGAAGGATACAGATTTTGAAAGGTTTGGTTTTTAACTTGGAGATTAGAAATTTCTGCCTTTAAGACCTGTCAGTTTTCTAGAGAGAAAATGCTGCCAGCACTAACACCTAACTGAAGGTAATTAAATCTTAAAGGCTTACTTTCTTCAAAGGCTTATTTAGACATGGAAATTGAATTGTGATAACAAGCACAGAAAGGGTTTTAAGAATAATTTCAGGTGTAGAAAATAATCTGTGAGAGAAATCATAACCAAGTAAAGTTGATGTTAAATATCTATAAAGCTCTTGAAAGTATTTTTTAAGTGGGATCTGAAGAGTTGTATGAAATCAGGTGTTTTGTCTTCCTGTCCTGGTTAATGCAGAACCCTGCGGAGAGATGCTTTTATAAGAAGAATTGCCTTTGAATGATGGGTTGAGAGAACACATTAAGGAGACTTTCATGGAAGTTCATAGAAATGAACCAGTCAGGATTCCTCCCTTACTCATGTCTGCAATCTAGGAGGTCCCAGGATCATCTTTGTCATTCTCCAAGCTATTGTGTAGAGGAACCTGCTATGTGAATCCTGGCAAGGGAGGTGGATCCCAGCTCACAGTGTGGTTGCACAGGCTCTAAAATGGAGGAAAAAGTAGATCTGGCTAGACGTTCTGCTAGGAAAAGAATCTATAAGTAATGCATTGCTCCCCCCAGGAACAACATTACCATAAAAATGCTTTACTTCAGAACTGTTGCATGTAAGCTTTCTGCTGAGGAGAGCAAGATATTATTGGGGAAAAAAAAGCCACCCAGGATTAAAGAGTGCTAGGATACATGGGACAAGCTGAGAGAGCTGATGTAAAATTTGCTTAGTGAGGATGTACCCTGGATCCCCCATCTGTCATGCTAACATGGCATCAGACAGAGCACCAGCTGCTTCTAACCTAAACCTGGAAGAGTCATTTATGCATAGCAGAATGGCTGTGGATAGAATTAAAGAAAAGTTACACCAGGTGTCAGCAAAGACTATTGTGGTGAAAGATGTAGCTCACTTTTATTAGCTTCCAAGCTAGATCAAAGCCATATTTGATCTTGTACAGATTTCTGGAAGATAATTTGTCTTGTATGGTCAGCTGCCTAAGTATTTTTCATTGGCTCATCCTGCCCACAGGTCCTCTTCTATAGGCAGCACATGCACGTACCTATGCGCATTCGCTCTTTAAATAGAAACTGCACTCTGTTGCAATGCACCTCCCTCTCAAGTATGTCTATGTCCTGCATCTCCACCTTCAAAGCTATTATTTTTAACTGTTCTTGGGCCACAAATAAATCACTTGGACAGCTCAGGAAGGAGATTTCCAGAAGAGAAACAGCTTGATGCCAGTATAAAAGTGCTGACCTGAGCCATATTCGCATTGGCCCATGGAAAAATGAGCAGAGGAATACAGAAGATCAAAAGAGAGTAAGATTTTTTGGCAGGATTTTAGTTAACATTAATGTGCAGCAGCTGTAGGATAGATTAGATAAAGACTGATAGGAAAGGATAATACAGTTTAGCAGGTCCTTTAGAATGAGAATAGGAACAAGGATGAGACAGTAAGAGAGCATGGCTGAATATTTAAGCTGATGTAGAGAAAGACCTGGACTAGGGATAAGGACAACAGAGCTGGAGTGGGCAGATGCGGTTGTTGGCCAGGGGGCAGGAAAACTGGCAGAGTATTGACCCATCCGTCAGCACACACATTTGGCCTTTGCTCTTTGAACCAGCTAAAGTCAAGGCCAGGAAGCAGCAGAGCAGTATTCAGACACGTCTCCCCCAGGCTTTCTATCAGCACTCCAACTTTCTTGCACCAGATCCTCCTGAGCTCAATACTGGAACCATGCAGCACTTTCAAAATCCTCTGCCTCCCTTGAGACATGATAAATGGCCTCACCATCAGTTCTTTCCAGTGCACAGACAGGTTGTGGCCAGAGATCAGCTGTGGCTTCTCCAGGACTTCTTCAGTTTGTCAGTACTATTTCATCCTGGGACCTTATGCATATGCAGTGGAACAGATGTGCTTTTGGGATCTTGAAGACTGTAGATGAACAGGACATACTTGAATATCCCAAATCCCCCTTGTGGTGGCAATACTTGTATCTCCTGTCTGTGGGTATCAGCGGTGAACATGATAGTTACCTGCAATGACTGTCTCTACAGCCATGAGAACTGACTTAACGAGTCTGTTCACAATATTAGTGTCTGATCTCAGCAAGCATTGGCTCAACAGTAAGTCTATGCTTCTGAGCTGCTGGGCTGCTGAGCACTCTATGGACATGTAAGTAACATTGAAGAAACAACATTCATTTACTGTGGTGAGAGCAGAAAAGACATGAGGAAGGAGGATTCAAATGTCAGCGTTGAAATAGATCAGGATTTCTGGTTATCTGCTGTGACTGTGCTTAGCTTGAGCTAGAGCAGCTATTGCCCATCCAGGCAGGTCACGGGCTGGATCAAGGAGAGGCTGCCACTCCTGCTGCCCGTGCACCCATGTAACTTCTTGCAGGGGCAGATTAATTTCTTTCCCATGCCTCAAAACCACCATTGGCTTAAAGCATCCAGAAGGCTGGAAACAGCTCCAGATTCAGTGAACCCACAAGGAGGCCTCACTGCAGAGCCCTGGTGTCCAGAGAGTTCACTGGTGATTCTTGTGCTTCCCAGCTGAGCGAGATCAGGCTGCCCTGCAGCCAGGAGCCTGCCTTTGCACAGTCTGGCCTCCGCTACCACAACTCCAACAAGAAGCTGTTTGTTTCCTTGTCATAGTTGCTGCCAGAAGAAACTCGCAATGGGATACTCTTGTCTTGCAAAGTCTCTGGCAGAGCTCATGGTGTGATATTGACTGATGCCATGGAGCAGATAGATGGAGCACTCATTCTACTCACAGAAAGACAGAACTTGCCCAGCTGTCTTTTCCTTTGTGGTGTGGTGGCAAGGATGCACAGACCTCCTCATTGGAAACACATTAATTTGGACACAAGACAGATGTGTTTGTGGCTCTAGGGCTGCTTAGTGCAACCTGGAAAGCCTCATTTCATCACCACGCTGTAGCTGTTTTTTCCTTCACAGTTGCACGGTGATATCTATAAAGTATATCCCAGGTGGTTCCTCTTGAGGTGGTGAGAGATGTGGTTCACAAGACCTATTTTTGTTGGATGGAAATGATCTCTTGAGCATGTACTCAGAAGGTGAGAGACATTAATGCAATGTGAAACTCGAGCTTTTCAGGATTGTGCAAAATTCTCAAAACTTGTCTGAACCATGTGGCTACCAGTGCAGAGGGTTAAGATCTGTGCTGCCAATGATCTTTACACAGTGGGAGAGAGCTGTAGAACAAAATTAATTGAATGAGTAACTCTTGTGCAGTCTCTGCCTCTTATTTGCTCAGCTAATCTACCATGAGTTAGGAGGAATTCAGTCATACTGGCCATGCAGACAACTGCACAGAAGTGATTCAGAGCACGAAGCCATGCTACTGCCCTTTCCAACTGCACACATATATCACTTACTGGTTGAAAAGTGCTTCTCTGACAACTTTGTTACCATTTTTTTAAAATGCTTCTGTTGATTCCTTTCCTGTGTTGATGGTCTAGGTCATGCTGTCCAGAGATGATTCTTTCTGACAGTAGTGTTCTCGTGGGATGCTGTGTCAGGGTCTCAGCCAGTTCCTTCATGATACAGTCATCTGCCTCTAGCTCCTCGTTTGTATAGATTGACCAGTCCCTCTGCACCTCTGGTGGGGACTCTCTCTTGATCATTCTCTTCC